TCTGAGTGTCATCAGCATACAGGTGGTATTGGAATCCAAAAGAGGCAATAAGTTTGCCAAGAGAGGAAGTATAAAGCGAAAATAGAAGGGGACCAAGGACAAAGCCTTGGGGAACTCCAGCCGAGACAGGACGAGGGTAGGAGGTATCCTTGGAAAAAGAGACACTGAATGAGCGTTGGGAGAGATAAGAGGAAAACCATGAGAGGACAGAGACTGAGCGTTTGAAGAGTTTGAAGGAGGAGATCATGATCAACGGTGTCAAAGGCAGCAGAGAGGTCAAAGAGAATTAATATGGAGTAGTGATCTTTGGATTTTGCTGCGATTAGGTCATATTACAGCCTAATGGCTGCTAGAAGTGCTTCCTGGGTCACTGCTGCACAGGGTACAGTACCTATGCTCAGTGTTTCCATCTTCTGAATGGAGACGCTGAACTTTCCCCATAGAGATGCATTGATTCAAAGCCCCTCTGTGAGGAGATGCTGACTGGCTAGGGTGGGGTGATGTCAGCCAAGGGGGCAGTGCCAGTGGACTTGTGCTGCACTGGAAATAAGGCGAGTTATTACTATGTTTAAGGGGTGCAAGAGGGACCAGGGAGCTAAATAGTTTATTTAATACTATAGCGTCAGGAATACATGTTTGTGATGCTGAAGCTGAGACCCTTACAGTGAACCTATGTCTTTGAAGATATACAATTTAACATATTTTTGAGGGGAAAGGGCCTGACTTTCATGCTGGCTGGACGCGTTTCATGAGAGCTCCCAGCTTGTATCCTGATATATGGGACTAAATCGAGCTACAATGGGACATCCCTCATTTCTGCCCCAGCCAGTCCAGCGTGGAGTGTCCGACAGAGGCAATATTTGGCTTATTGACAACACATGCAGTGAGGCCTGGGAAGCGCACCGAGCGTTGGAGGCAGCTGATTGCCCCAGATGGGAATTGCCAAAGCTACAGCACTATCACTTTGTTGCCCCCTTCTTCCCCTTTTGGACGGTGGGGGTTATCCCAGTCCGCTCCTGGAAGGCTACCCCGCAGTGGCAGGCATCAGTGGCATTTACAAGCATTCCAGTAGAGGGTGCAGTGGCCAAAGCAATATGGCGGATGTTACGTGCTCCATCCATCTCAACAGAGGGGAACCCAACATCATGTCTAAGCTAGACAGACTCTTTGATGACTTCTGGCGGAGTCCCCGAGAGAGACAGTCTTCTCCATGTGAAAACAGCAACCACTCTCATCACCCTCAGCACTCACATCGCTGTCGTAGGCCTGTCGATCTTACTGTGAAGGGGGTCAGAACATGGAGGCAGAGGTAGCGAGGTCCCCTGCTCAAGCGCGGGCTGAAGCAGAGGCAAGACACACTGCTACTCAATACTGAGACTCCCCATGAAGCTGGGATGCCGAAGAGAATCGGGACAGTACCGCAGATCCTGTGTCGCATGTCTTTGATTCAGAGAGGGGGCCTCAGAAGTAACTGTGCTGCTGACTGCGCTCTGCCCCTTAATGGCATAGGCTGAAGAGGGCTATGTGGTGGGCATCTTAGGGGCCTTACCCTCTGACATAGCTCAGATGGTGATTATTCTCATGTTGCTGTGTCCCCTGCTGGCATTTTTCCATTATTTCGTTATAACTTTTCTTTATTAAGCTGGTGTACTCAATACTTCTCTGCCCGCACACAAGTATTCTCAATTATTCTACTGGGGAGCCTCCAAGGTAGAGGCTAATCGCCTGTTCTCAGATCACTTTGTGTACCTTCCTATAATTGCTTCAAGTATCTGAGACCATTTGTTGTTTTTATCTACAAAAAAAATAATAAAAAATTGTACTGTGATCTCAACTGTTACACACTGTATTACTATGTATTATTGTTTATCTTGCTATAGCTGTTGTGGCATACCGGGAACATTCGTTATTCTGACCACAGCGAAAAATAAAGATTGACACAATGTAACATATTCTTTATCTTTATTAAGATAAAAATATCTGTTCTTATAGAAATTCAGTTAAAATGCCCCTGAACATTTCGATTTCCCATTATTAATGCAGAAACTGAGGCCCATACTTCCCAAGTGTCCCAATTAAGGAGGGATAGTCCCTATTTTGAGCCCAAACCCCCTGACCCTTTTTTCTATCCTAATGATCGTCTTGTCTAGGAGCTCCATATTGTTGGTGTGTCCGAGTGTTTAACAGAGCTCCACAGTAATAAAACTCACAGCAATGTATATTAAAAGTACAATACATGTGTTTACAAATGTCTGTGTAAATGCACCATTCCTAAATAACAACTACAGCTCACTGTACTGGTTTTATGGTAACAGTAATGCCCTGACAGTGCCTCAGCAGCTGTCCCTGGTCCAGTTACTCCTGGGAGGACCATAGCAGCTGCCCCACTGTGCCCTCAGCCTGCAACAATTTTTTTTAGAATCACTGATCCTAAAATAAATTATTGCAGGCAGTGGGCCTGCACGCTGAGGAGGACCATCGGTCGGCCCATGTACTTAAGACCACCCAATGGGATTGTGTCCTCATGGGCCTGGTCGGCGCTATGGCCCTTTAATGGTGCAAACGGGCCTCCTGTAATGATGTCAGTGCTGGGAGGAAGTGACAGGCGGTCACTTCCTCCCAGCTAACACGAGCACCACGTTGGAGGGAGGAGGAGGAGAATGCAGAGTAAGAACCTTTGATTCCCAACATCATCAACCAGCCACAACCAGGGAAGCCACCCTCCTGCACCTAAAAGTTAGGAAACAGGATGGTAGCTAAAAAAAATTAACTTTTTACATGTTTGTCTGTTTGTGTATCTGCATGTGTATCTGTCTGTGTTTCAATATGTGTGTGTGCATGTGTGTCTGTGTGTGAATGTGTGTCTGTATGTCTGGATGTGTTTATGTATGTCTGCATGTGTGTCTGTATATTTATCTGTGTGTCTGTATGTGCATCTATGTGTTTGCATGTGTGTGTGTGTGTGTGTGTGTGTATATGTGTATCTGTGCATTTGTCTCTATGTATATCTGTGTCTGTTTATCTGTATGTGTATATATGTGTGTCAGTGTATCTGTTTGTGTATCTGCATGTATGTCTGTATGTGTGCATGTGTATCTGTATGTGTCTGTATGTATCTGCATGTGTCTGTGTATGTGTGTGTCTATATATCTGTTTGTCTGTATGTGTATGTATATGTGTATCTGCATTTGTGTAATTGTGTGCCCGTGTTTGTATCTGTATGAGTGTCATTCTGTGTATCTGAATGTGTTGTTTTTTGGGGGGTGGCGGTATGGAGGTCTGTGATTGCATGCCATATGGTGAGGAGGGGGCAGGTTCCAGAGGGCCAAGCAAAATGCTTGCCCAGCATCCAATCAATATTAAAGATGGCCCTGTGCGCTGTAAAGGAGTTGGTCTCTATGGGCAGGTAAGACAAGCTCCTTCACAGGTATAGGGACTGGGCAGCTATGCTGGTGCCTCCTCCCCCAAATCTGTGGCTGTGCAAGGAGCTGCTGGCTGCTGCTGTTTTTCTCACACATTCTAAGAGTTGGAAATTCTCTGCAACACAGCCCGGGCCAGGCACTTTCAGGGCCGTACCTCCCTGATGGCAGCCCTGGTTAAGAAACTTTTAAGTCCCCTAAAGCACCTTAGTTTGCTGAAGTGATTTAGGGTTAAAGCGGCACTTTTCCAAATTTGCAAAGTCCCCTGATGGTTACATTGCCGCTGGTGTTCCGGGGAGTGGCAGGTAAGGGTGAGATTACTTACCTGAACCTGTCCCTCGCAGACACCACCATTTTGCTTGCTCTGCACCCCTTCAACAGCTGGCGTTTCAGTAATCCGTTTTTTTTTTTTCAATAATTCCAGGTCCAAGTGACTCTGTCCAACGTCATGAATGAGTTCAGGATCTACCGGTTTCTTTCTAGCCTTAAATTTACTGGATTATTTACTAAAGTGAAAATTCACTTTGAATTCCCACTTTAGTGAGTAATCCTGTTACTATTTTTGTTTCAGAACAAGCTGCTTCTGACTGAGTTGGCAGAACCGTTGCCTTACTCCAGGTGCAAGGAACAATTAAATAACTGCAAATGTGAGTACAGAAAAAGCTACCACAAGTCCAGTCATTTTCTGCATGTTTGCCAAACCAGCAGGGTATTGTTTGCTACTGGTCTTTTAAAGGATCACTATAGTGTCAGGAAAACAAACTCGTTTTCCTGGCACTATATAATCCTCAGGAACCCCCCACCCTCAGGGTCCCCTCCCTTGGCGCTGAAGAGGTTAAAACCCCTTCAGCCTCGTACTTTTATCCAGCGCCGGCCTCTCCACCATGCCGACGTCGTCTCCCGAGTGGAGGGGAATGCGCATGCGCAGCAAGCGCTGCGCGCGCATTCAAACAGTCCATAGGAAAGCATTTCTCAATGCTTTACTAAGGACGTTCTAAACGTCGTTCAGGAAGACAGCCACTAGAGGTTGGATTAGCCCTGCAATGTCAACATAGCAGTTTCTCTGAAACTGCTATGTTTACATCTGAACGGTTAAAACCTGGGGGACCTGGCACCCAGACCACTTCATTGAGCTGAAGTGGTCTGGGTGACTATAGTGTCCCTTTAATGTGATTTGAAATGTGTGCAAGGCCAGCATGTTAGCCGAAACATAAAAGATGTATTACTTTTATTAAATGTACATTTAACTACTTTGGCATGAATTTTGAAATCCTACAACATCCTATTTAGTAAATAATTCCCCTGAACTTAATATCCCATGTTTAAGAACCTGATTATTCTTCATCTTTTCCCGATTAATGCTAATGACGCTCTTCCTAGAATCATTTTCACCTTAATGGAGGAAGCTATGAAAATAGCCAAACATCCATCAACTGTACCATTGCTGCAGCTGTTTCCTTCATTTGTATAACGGAAATTAAGATAAAATGTTTGCACATGTGTTGAAACAATGATATATGTCCTTAGATAACTTAACAAGCATTGTAAGAAATACACAAATCCCAAATATGTCACTTTCTGGATGTGTTGGGAAATGTCTCCTACAACAATTTGATCCTTGCACCAGTTTTCTGATTGCTGAATGACGATAATAAAGGAAACGTAGGAAAAGTTCATAAACAAATTTAATGATAAAGTAATAATACAATTTATTATGATTATGGGCATGATTATGAATACTTATTTCATTCTTTTGACCTTAAACTGGAAAGAGTAAGTCGAAAGAGTATCGCTGATGAAATAGGTGTTTTTCAGGTATGTTAAACCTAGTCAGGTAGTAAATATAAGGCAGGATTGAATGCTGGTTCATCAGGGCATTTAGCAACCTAAGTCTGGATGGTCCTCCCTGATCCGAGTCCTGACAGTGCTCCAATAATATCAGTGACCTCATTGTGTCTATAACTCATGTGACACGGAAGCTCACCAGAAAGCACTGAATACAATGCTTTCCCAAGGGGAAGCTTGTATGTGTGCACTGAGCTCGCCACTCATGGCATCTGGACCACAATGCTTTTCTTTGAGCATTGGATTGGATTATCAGGGAGGAGGCCATGCCTCCTCAATGGCACCATGGGAGATAGAGAGATGAATAAAACTTTGATTTTACAAATTTTTATGGGAAACAACGGCACTGACCTATATAGAACTAAGGACTGGGGCACTATAGGGTTAGGGATACAAGTATGTATTCCTAAAACTATAGTGATCCTATAATAGTTATTGCAGTTTTAGATTTTCCTAATTGATTCTGCTGTCACCATTTATGCTGAGCCTCTAGTATTTCTCCAGATCCCTCAGTTTACAGCTTTATTTAAGCAGTAACTATTTCACTCCTGAGTTATTGCACCATTCTCCTGAAAGGATGTTCCGTTACCCAGCTGTCGACTCTGCAGTCCATAATAATTAAGACAGCCAGAGACCCATCTTCCATCTGTTTGCCTGCAAGTATCATTTTATTTATAAAGGAATCAGTTAATATATCACAGAGCTGCACAACGCGCAAGCAGAACATTCATGTAATATGACAAAACAAATTAGGCTAATGTAAGCAAGTGGTGGTACACTGAAATGCATTTAAAGGACCACTATAGTGCCAGGAAAACATACTCGTTTTCCTGGAACTATAGGGTCTCTAGGTCCTCCCCACCCTCAGGGCCCCCCTCCCGCTGGGCTCTAGGGGGTGGAAGGGGTTAAATTTACCTCTTTCTCCAGCGTCGGGCAGGGAACTCTCCTCCTCCTCTTCGCCGTCATTGGCTGCATGCGCAGCAGGAGCGGTGTGCGCATTCAGCCAGTCCATAGGAAAGCATTTTTAATGCTTTCCTATGGACGCTGGCGTCTTCTCACTGTGAAAATCACAGTGAGAAGCACGGAAGGGCCTCTAGCGGCTGTCAATGAGACAGCCACTAGAGGCTGGATTAACCCATTTGTAAACATAGCAGTTTCTCTGAAACTGCTATGTTTATAGAAGAAAGGGTTAATCCTAGATGGACCAGGCACCCAGACCACTTCATTAAGCTGAAGTGGTCTGGGTGCATATAGTGGTCCTTTAAGCTCTGACGAGAGCTTTATCTATAGGATTATCTGACAGCCACAGAAAAACAAATATAACATCTATAATGAACTCATGTGAGTATTTGGTGCATGTGAGTATTTGGTGCAGAATTGTACCTATCAAGAGCTCCATTTTCCTGTGGGTCAGTGTCTTACACAATCACACCTACATTGCTTCTGTCCATGCAGCTTTATCTACACCTCCCCTGGCTGTGACTGACACAGTCTGCATGAAGGTTTTATTAAAATGGTTTCATTTTCAATCACAATCCTGTTCTGTAAATTAAACTTTAATTAACACAGGGCTCCTGCAGGATCTAGAAGGCTGTTAACAGATACAACATTCTAGATTAAACACACTGTGCTATAAAGGAAGTTTAAACATTAGAGCTCACTTTAAAGAAAATGTTTAGGAAGGCTGTGTAAGTCAGGCAGGGAGCTGTAACTAGAGCTGTATAAACAAGGTTATTTAACTCTTAAATGGCAGAGAATTTAGCAGTGAGACTGCAGGGGCAAATTCTATACACCAAAACTGCTAAAGTTATTTTAGTGACTATACTGTCCCTTTAAGTTTTTCCCTTGGCCACATTAATTTATTTTTATATGTAATATTTACTAGCTTTACGTTATTTTATGTCTTTCCATTGCGTCAAAACGTTTCTCTTTTACTATTTAAAAAAAATAATAATAATGTGCCTTTGTCACAATTTTTTGGGTCATGTGCATTATATATCATGATTATTATTACAGGATAACTACATAGTACAGGATATAGTGCCAAACAGGTAACTATTGTTGAAATGATCACTTTCCTGAAATTTTGTCTTTTATCTTTTTGAAGAAAGATTTGGTTTTATCCACAAAATTTTTGGCTTTTTTGATTTGCACCTGCACTGGGAAGTGATCGCTGACTTCCAGAGCCTGAAAATAACAACAAACAAACAGACGCACATTAATGTGATTCCTAGGGACACGATGGTATACACAAAGCTTAGGGTAGACATACACCAAACAATAAAAAGAACCCGAACACAGTGGCTAGTTTGGAAATAATGGTTCCAATGGGTCTTTCAAAGTATGTACAATAGTACAATTCAAATTGGTCACTGATTTACAAGATGCAACACTGATCTTCTGCACCATTGCACCAGTGAGATTGCACCATTTTTGAAAGTGATCCAGCAAAAAGTTAAGATAGGAGTCTCTAGAACAATCATAAGGCATATAGCAAAGTGTATTCGTAGAAAATACTAATTTAACAATCTTTTTTCCAGTTGTCCCCTACCCAGTCCTTAAGTACCTCATTACAGTCCAGGATTTAGGGATTACTCAGTTATGTTTCTAAGATGTTTAAGAAAAAAAAAACCATGTTAGACACAACAGGGTAATCCCTAAATCCTGGACTGGTAGGGGGTACTTGGGAAACCCTGTTCTATTCCACAATACTAGTTGCTGGAGTCACTGGATTATAATTGTGGAGCCACGGTTCATAGAGTGCAACCAGAGTCACAGATTTTAGTGTTCCTAATTTCAGTACCACGAGGCATGGTGACTAGGTAGAAATATATTTTTACTCAATAGGATGTAGAAGGAAACCGACACAAGTAAAATGCTGGACCTCCATTGCAAATCTATTGAACAGCATTGAAATTGCCATTAGACACTACTTGGTTCAATTATCTGCTCCCACATTGCAACCCATCATCAAATCATGGTACCTGAGTTTCCGTCAGTCCAAATTCTTTTATGAAATCAAACACACTGGCTGAGTCAGGGACTATAGATTTCATCATCTTATCCCCATGAACCACGATCCTGAAAAAAAAAGAAGCCAACAGCATACTCTGTTTGAAAGAGGTATTCTCACGGATTCTAAGCTGGAAATAAAATAAAAGGTTTAATAAAATGTTTTTAATGAAAGCACATTTTTATAAAAGGCTTAC